AAGGAGGAATAGAGGGAAAAAGGAAAGAAAAAGGGAGTGGGGAAGGAAAAGGAATATTTTTTTTCTTTGCTAAGAATTTGTAGCTCTTTGAAATTTTGTCATATGCAGAAATATTTTCATTAGAATCATCTGAAAAATACAGTTGTATCATTGATATTCACCATACTTTGTGTTTAAGAAAATCTCTTTATTTTTTAGAGTGAATTTTTTTAAACGTGTAAACTAATCATGTATTTAAAATAATTTAGAAAAAGCCATGGCCTGGCTACTTAACATATATTGACAAATCAACCATACAAAATTTAAGTTGTGGCCGTTTTTGAAGGGTTGACAAAGCAAAGTCTTTTTTGTCACTCATTTAACATTTACTAAACTTCTCTTGTGAGCTTAACATTGTCCTAGGCACAGTGGAAAACGTGGGGAGTCTCCGTATAATCGCCAAACACAGCGACTCTTTCTGTGGGTTCTGAACTAAAGGAGAAATATATAAAAGAGCTAAATGGTGAACAAAATGCTTGTTTCCTTGCTGTTAAAACTGGATTGAGTAATTCAGCTTTGTAAGTTTACCCACCATAGGGCTGCATCGCGGGGTCTGCAGGCTCCGCTCACCCAGGTATTTTCCAAAATCGTCAGAAAGCATCTCCATAAGGTCCCTCCTTTCCCCGCGTTGGGAGGTACATTTCTCTACTGTTTATTTCCATCTGCTGATAACATCTTCCCTTATTTTTCCAACACAGTTTTGGATTTATTTTTGAATATATTTGTCATTTCTTTAACATTCAGAGATAGACATAAAGTAAAAGCACGGGTCAGTTTTTCTTTACATTATGCTGGATATAAGGTCACCAGGATCTGTACTTTTTTTTTTCTTTCCTTTTTACCCTACACTTATTTTTAATCGACTGATCATAAAGAAAAAATTCAATTGTTTCGGCAGTCCTAGATATTTTGAAGTGTATTTTGTTCTTGCTCTTTTTCAAAAAAATGTTTCTGACTGTGAAGTTCATGCTACCTGGAGATAAGAGGAGAGATGGTCAAAGAAAGGTACTTGAAAGAAATGTTTGATATGTATGAAAGATTGTGTTTATCCAAGGGCTTAAGTAATAAAATAGCATCCCTGTGTAAGAAGTTAAAAGTTGCCGTAGCTATTTTGAAACTCATACAGTGGCTTCCATTTAATCCCCAGCCAGCCTTGGTAAGATTTACACAAACACATTTTTAATGTTGATGTGAGTTTTCCCTGTGGTGTCATCTCGGATTAGTACATTGTTGGGCTGAGAGCTATAGATCATGAAGCAGAGTGTATTCTTGTCTTCATATGGATTTGTCCTATTTCGGCACCCTCCTCAAACTGAATATCTGTAATATGGCTGCATTTTTTTAAAAAAGCTCATGAATGTTGATGTATTTTCCGAAAGGTTATTATCATATTTGGAAATGTTTTAAGCATAAAAATATCTTACATATCAACAGAATATAATATCTACCTCTCAACCATGATTTTCCAGGCGTGTTTTTTTTTAATCCAAATGGTCAGGGGTCCCCAAGACCACTGTAGCTTCAGTGATTCACTAGAAGAACTCGCAGGGCTCAGCAGATAGCCACAGTCATGGTGAGATTTAATACAGCTGGAGGCGACAAAGCAGAGTCAGCAATGAGGAAAGGTGCTGGGACAGAGTCTAGAGGAAACCAGGCACAAGCTTCTAAGGGCTCTCTCCTAGTGGAGTCACGCAGAATGTGCTAAATTCCCCCAGCAAGGAGTGGTCACAACTGGTGGAATGTCGCCTTCCAAGGAAGCCCCTTAGAGACTCGGTGCCCAGGATTTCTGTTGGGGGCTGGTCATGTAGACACCCTCTGCCTAGCACGTACCCAAATACCAGACTCCCAGAAGGAAAAGAGGTGTTCAGCCTAAACCATATTGTTTGTACAAACAGTTTAGGCAGAATATACCATGCTTATCCGTTAGAGGGTGGTGGGGACACTCTCAAAATCCAAGTTCCCATATGCCAGCCAAAGGTCAACTTTGCAAATAGACCTTTCTAAGCATACACAGCTATCTCAGTTCAGACTTGCTAGTTAAGTCTTTACTCTATACAAGGTCTCTTCCTCCCTACTGTGTGGGTTATTAATATTTTGTTCCATTTTAGTAACCTTTAAACAACAGATTGAGAAAAGTATAAGAAATTTGTCCATTTGGATTTCCATGAGTAAGTCTTTTAAAGATTTAATAGACAATGATGATGGAACTATATATATACATATTTACTATAGGTTACATATAGTCTTGCTACATTTGCCCCACTCAACTCCTTGCACATTTCTTAAGAAAATTGAGTTTGCTTTATATATTATATATTTTGTTATTTTATGTTAGCTATTAGTTACTTTTGTTATGGATTCATGTTTTGATAATTAAACTTTGAGATAACTGTAGATTCAAATGTAGTTGTAAAAAATGATGCAGACAAATCTCATGCACCCGTCACCCAGTTTCCTCCAGTGGTAACATCCTGCGTAACTATCGTATAACAGCACAATCAAGAAACTGACATTGGTACAATCTACAGAACTTTTTCAGATTTCCTCAGTTTTACATGTATTTATATGTGTATGTATTTGTCTTTTGGTTTTATACAATTTTATCACGTGTAGATTCTTACAAATAACACCATAATCAAGAAAGAATATTCGATCTCTATAACAATTCCTTGCATTGTTCTGTTATTGCTATACCTAACGTTCCTCCTTACCCATACCCCTTTCCCACCCCACTCCCTCATCTCTGGTAACTACTAATCTTTTCTCTGTCTCTATAATTTTATCATTTCCATAATGTTAAATGAATGGAGTCAAACACTGTAGAACTTTAGGGATTTTTTTTAACTCAGATAATTCCCTTGAGGTCTATCCAAGTTGCACGTATCAATAGTCCCTTCCTGTTTATTGCTGAGTAGTATTTCACAGTATGGATGTACCACAGTTTGTTTACCTGTTCACCCCCAGACAGAAATTTGGGTAGTTTCCAGTTTTTGGCAGTTACAAATAAAACTGCTGTCAACATTTATAACTTTTTTGCATGAGAATAAATTTTGATTTTTTGCAATCAGTGCCTGAGAGTGCACTTGCTGGGTTTTATGGTAATAGCATATTTATTTTTATAAGAAACTGCCAAACTGTTACACAGAATGTCTGCATCATTTGACATTCTCACCAGAAAAATATAGGTTTTCCACATTCTGACAAGCATTTATTGCTGTCACTTTTTTATTTCAGCTATTCTGATATATGTGTAGTATTACCTCATTTTGGCTTTAATTTTCACTTCCCTAAAGTCTGACACTGTTGAACATCTTTTCATGTGCTTATTTGCTATTTGTAAGTCTTCTTAGGTGAAATATTTATTGCTCATGTTGGATTTATTTTATTGTTGAGTTTTGAGAATTATTTTTACATATTCTAGATACTGGTTCTTTGTCAGATGTTTGCAAGTATTTTTCCCCAGTCTGTAGCTTATCTTTTGTCTTTTCATCCTCTTAACAGGGTATTTTATGGAGCAAACATTTTTAATTTTGATGTCCAATTTATCTATGTATTCTTTCATGAATTCTGCTTTTGTGTGAAGTTTAAGAACTTTTTCCTTAGCACTAGGTCCTGAAGATTTTCTCCTAGTTTTTTTTCCCCCTAAAAGTTTTCTAGCTTTATATTTATATAGTTAAACTGATTGCCTAGAGTGACAATTTTCAGCAGAAACACCACCTTAAAATTCTTTGCGAATGGTGACACACTAGATGTGCTTTGCCACTGTATAATTGTCAAGTTTGCGTGAACTCATATATTCTGTTCCAGGGTACAGAATACTGTTAGTAGTAAGCAAGAAGCAGTAGACTGGGGAAAAAAGAAACTTTAAATATTTTTAAACAATCAAACTTTGAATCTCATTTTCTACCTCAACTTATTTCCTTTATTTGATCTGAATAATCAAAACAATTATAAACAAATCACAGGAAAAATTATAATGAAAAATGAGTTTTTCCCCCCTAGAAGTTTGAAATTGAAAAATAATATTTTCATAGCAGAAAGACCATTTCAGGTTATAGAATTTTATCTTAAGAACATTTTGAGAGTGCTTATTCAGAGCTGGCTCAGGAAAAAAATTTCCCATTCCCATTTTAAGTGAAAAGAGAGATTAAGGCTTGTCCATCATGGTGGCTCTTCTCCAGGCTTAATTTTATCTCCACCCTTGTTCACCTCTAACCCAATTCTGCACAAATGTCTGAATCTAGATGTTTTTATTTTTACTGAATTTTGCTGGGCACAGAAAGTTCATGCCATAAAATTTGTCTTTTAGGCGGCAACTTCCTTTCCATGCTTTCCACGTATTAGAACATGGTTCACTTCCTGGCGACTCACCAAGGATTGGCTTTTTAAAAATCTCTGTCAGAAGAAAAAAAAATGTCCCTTTTTAAATCGCAAAAGTTGAAATTGCAGGGAAGGTATTCCATGCATGTGGATCTGCAGTCAGGGAATAGTTCCATTGAAATATGTCAAATTGTTAAAAATGACCCCATTGCCTCTAGATGGCACACTACCATTATTTTTTCTTAACTTTAGAAAAGTCCCTGATTTTTAGCAACTGGGTAGCACAGGTGCTGGTTTCTAGTTCCAGGATCACTCCAGTTTTAAAACTTTTCAATTGTTGTCTAAGTATTCTGAAGCTGCCTTGGATTCTGTTATTTTGTCTGACTTATATTTATGTTAACATGCCTCAGTATTCAAATTCTATACCAGTTATTTGCAAACATGCCTCTGTTTTATCGTAATAAATTTTAAGTACACATGTACACGCGCTAAAATCATTCACTGGCATTTATGTGCTAAATCTGCCTCATAGCATTACTCATATAAAGAAAATGTAAGGTTATAAATATAAATAAAACAAGTTTACTTCATGCCATTTCTCAACAGAATGGTGTTATATACGCAAAATATTAATTTTGTTTCTTTTTAAACTGCACTTTCATGCCATATATAATTTTGCTTTAACCTACCATTTACATGAAGGGAATATGAATTTGAATGTCAAAAACAATGACAGAGGGGCATTAAGCAGTATGTCTAATAATCTCCTTACACATGAATTCTCTATCAAAATGTTAAGTGAAAGCTCTGTTTCAATTGGACCACCAGGCATTTAATATTTGTTTTTCAGTTCCTTTTTAAAGTCAGTTTTGTTTCACAATAACATTTGAAGGAAAAGATTAAATTTGAATTATATTTTAGGTATGACAGGATTTTCAGATAGAACTTGAATTCAACTTAAGAATCAGCGTGCCATCTTGAGAGATAATTTTAGCTGATAAAAAATTTCAAGTTGGCTTCTTTTTAGTGATTGTAACAAATACAATCAGAATACATCAGAACTAGTCATATTTGCACTGTGTCATAAGAACATTTTTTGAAATATTACTCTCTAGATTTAGGGTAATCTGTGAACCCAGAAGTAATGTAATAATTATATCTAGTAAACATATTTCAGTGGGAACAAAAAAGCACCTCACAGAAATGGGATGGAGAAACACGTTTCCATAGGTGGTTAATGCTTTTAGTCAGTGGTCCACAAAGAGACTGAACTTGAGAATGATGATAAAGTGTGAGAGGTATTTTCCAGCCTTAAAATGCTCTTTATCAGTGTCTAACTGGGAAATTCTATGAGATTCCCAATGAATCTTTACATACCTCCCCACAACTTGAGTACTGATTAGATCTGATATTTCCTGGGAAAAATAATTTAATTACATATCATGTCTAACAGTCTCCTAATTTTCATTTTTATAAAATTTATGTGCTTGAGAAAATAATGGCTAACTATATATCTGGGAGAAAACTTATAACTGGAATACGCGAAGAGCTTTGAAAACTAGACAATAAAAATACAAACAATTCAACCAGAAAACGGGTGACAGATTTTTCACTGAAGATTACACATGAAAATTATCACTGCTAAAAATGTTGAGCGTCATTAAACATTAAGGAAATACAAATTAAAACCACAATGAGATATCGCTATACCCCTACCAGAATGCCTAAAGTACAAAACAGTCACAGCCTCAAATGCTGATGAAGATGTACAGAAACTGGGTCACTCACAACTTGCTGGTGGAAATATAATATGGTATTAGCCACTCTGGAAAACATTTGTTACTTTCTTATAAAAATAAACATATAATTGCCATATGACCTAACAATTGTACTCTCGGACATTATTTCAGAGAAATAAAAACTTATGTTCAAACAAAACCTGTACATGGATGTTTTAGCAGTTGTATTTGTAATAGCCAGAGATCTGTCTGGGGGTGAGTGGTAAGCATCCATATTCTGGAATATCATCCAGCAATTAAAAGGAGCAAACTATTGATGCACAGAACAACCTGGGTGAATTATCAGAGAATTATGCAGAGAAAAATAAAAAATTATATACTGTAATGATTCCGTTTACATAATATTTTTGCAAAAAAGGAATTTCAGAGATGGAAAACAGATTGTTGCCATAGGAGGTTAGGAATGGGGGAGGGGATGTGGTTTTAAAGGAATCATGCAAAGCTGGTAAAAACTGAATAAAGACTATGGA